TCAGTCTCGTACATTTTTACATATTTGAGCTTTAAATCTGTTCCTTAAGCAATGGAGGAGGAGCACACGTACACCGAGTTGTAATTTTCTTGCAATTTGCTGATCACACTATTGTGCATACCTTGACTTTCCAGTGGTTTGATTTCCCAGCATAAATATTATTCTGCCCAAACACTTTGAAATTTTAGAAATGAATGACCTTGGTGGTATGAAGTTCACTGTGTGTATGTCCAAACGGAAGGGTGCTTTTGAGCTTGGTGGGCCTGATCTTGTCTTATTGGTCTTGAAAAGATGGTTCTTTTCAGAGCGAGTGTGTCAGAGACATTTGATGTGCAGCCCCTCGTACTGAGTAGCTGACCTTTTTGATTATTCTTACATTAGAAATGGGGATATAAATGTTCTTACACAAAATGTATTAGTGCAAATGCATCTTCAAAATGTATTGCATTTGGAAGAGTTTGGATACAGTGTATTTACCGTAGTCAAGTATACACGCAGTCAGCTGCAGAGGATGCAGATTTTAACAATATCTGATAGTATGTGGTATCTCACACAACACAAATTTATTAGAGCTCTCGTGAGCTTCTCATATGTGGTACCATGTCTTTTTGTTGTTTTTTTTTTTCCTGTCTGCATAGGATTCAAAAAAGAGTAGTGAGGGAGGAAGAGATGGCTGTTTTTATTAAAGAGTATCAAGTCTCTGTACACAGAAGAAGTAATTTCTTGTTTTACACAAAGCATGGCTTCGTTTGGTAATGTTTGTAACCAGCAGGAACAAAATACAGTAGTTTCTGAAAAATACAAGAGGAAAGTGCTATAGTTAAATATTGCTCTCCCTTTCTACGAATTCTGTCAGAGACTGATTTTTCACTGTGCTTGTATGGCTGATAAAACATTGTGTGGGAAGCTGCTGCTTACCTCTTTATTCCAGTTATATTCATTTCCTTATGGAGAGATGGAATGTGAACCTTCTCTGTTTGCGGAGACCAAAGCATTTCTGGGACATGTTTATACTAGAATAAAGGTATATTGAAGTATAAGGAACAGCTAGAGTTGCGTTTTTGTTTGCCCTGTTTAAACTCCCACCACATAAGCTTAATCGTGCTTTTTGTGGTGAAGACTAAAGGATGAAACTTTTAGGAGCACTCAGAATTCACCTGGTTTTTATTGCGGTGGTTTCAAGATGGTTTTCCATCCCTTTTAATAGGAACGTAAGTTGAGCAGTGCTGCACACATGTGAAAATCCTACCCATGATGTGCATCTTTATTATAGGAAAGATAATCTTTTCTTTCAAATTGCCTTAGGAGACCAGCTTAACATGAAAAGTATTTTATTGCTTAAGAGGTAAACAACTGCAGCAGCCAGAACCCAAGAGTGTTTTTAATTTCAGTAAAAAAAGATGCAAAAGGTCAATTAGTGCTTTAAAACGTTGCTGCAGAAATCAGTGCAGGGCGCTGCAAGTCCATGCATATTTTGGAGCAAAACTTCTGTTCTAGTTGTTCTGTATTTTGTGTGTGAGGACTGTTGCATAGCATCTGTGTTAAATATAACTAAAATGAAATCACCCTTACCTATGCAGGAAAGGGAGGGATGCACTGTGATTACTTATCTCCCCCTGCATAACGCGACGGGGCATGTGGCCTCCCGACAGTGCCGGTGACGCAGTGATATTTCACGGTGGCATGAGTAGGTTGCCAAGCAGCAGCTGCTTTTGCCAAGCACCTTGTTTGGAGCCGTGACTGCTCAGCACATCTATTTGTGGCATGGAGCGAAACGCTCAGTGGGGCTGGCCGGCCACCGAGCCTTCTCTGTAAGAGTCCCCGTCTGCCTCTGGCAGCCACTGGGATGGGCAGCTGGATTTGAAAGGTCTCCAGAGAAAGCAGCATGTGAGTGGGGCAGCAGTTGTCCGTCAGTGATGATAAAGCAGCGTGGCTGTTTTTGCTGCTGTTTTCCGAAGCCCTTCTCCATAGCCGCAGTGGGACGCTTCCCCTACCCTCTTCTGCCATTTCCTTTAGCACCTTCCCTGCCATCAGCTTTGGCTTCTGATAAGATCCTCAGTGTGCCAGGAGGAGCTTCGTTGTCTTCTTCCTTCCTGCGTACCTTTTCCAATTAAATATGGAACTTCTCCTTTTTCTCCTCTCCTTATCACTGCTTCCTTAACAGCAGGCTGGTAGGTTTTGTCCCAGATCCTAGGGAATGCCCTTGGGAAGCTGCTGCTGGAAATCAGCAACCCTCTACACGCTTCTTGCTCCCCATGGATGGCTTCACCTCAGAGTAACCTAGAATTCCCTAATGAAAATGCCATGTATTTTTAACAGCATATTTCAGATCTTGGCAGCATGCCTCCAGCAAAATGACAGAAAAGAGAAAGATGGCCAGCTGCTCTGGATTTGTGGACTACCAGACCTTCACAGTAGAAACTATGTTTTGCTTCAGTAGCAGAAAGGCCCTTTTTAAACTCCTGGCAAGCTCCTTTCTTGCTTAATGCAAAACAAATTGGGAGTAATTCCACCAGCAGCAATGGCAATAGGCCTTGAGAACCAGGCAGCTTCTACCTATTGCACATATGGAGTCCTGTTACCTTGTAGGACTGCTTCTTGAAAAGAGGTAGGGAGATTAAAACAGGCTTTTTGGATGGACATCTTATTGCACTGACTTGCTGTACTACTTGCTTTGCTACAGCCATGCGAAAGACTGCAGTAGCAAGCTGAAGAAGCAAGCAAATGTTTTCCTGTTGACCACAGAAGATGCAGGGCAGCAGAAGTGGCTTCCAGCCACCTTGGTAGCCTCTGGGTTTCTAAAGTAGTCCACCAGGGGAATGAAACTCTTCAGGGCTCTCTGAATCGCAGCAGCAGCCTCCCAGGAGAATTGCCTGTGATCCCCGCGGGACAAAATACAAGAAAATGATTGAGGAGATGGTCAGTGGTAAGCGGAAGAGACAGACTGACTTGCTATCTCTTACCTTAGTGGCTGGGTGCACCTGCACTAATCCTGGATGAATTGGCACGGTTAGTCCATCGCAGTCGGTCTCCCTGGAGTTTTTCATACCCACAAAAGCTCAGCACTGATCTGTGCAGGAAATGCTGGGAAGCAGCATGGAGAAGAAGAGCCGGCATCACTATGCCTGCATCTCCATTGGCAAACAGTGCTTGTTTCCATCACTGGTGCTCCAGTGGATGCAGAAACCTTTTCTTCCAGTGCTGTTTGCCACAACAGTGCTCTGGCAAGTTCATTGTGGCCTAGGGCTACAACCTGGGCATTGCTTGATCTGGAGCTTGTTCCATGACAGATAAAAATAGGGCTTGAGCTCCAGCCAAGCCATGTAAGTGGTGAGGGTGCAGCCTCCTTAGCCTGTTACAGCTTGTGACTCCTGGTACCTCTGGTGCAAGATGGATAATCACACCTACAGACAGGTAAATAAGCAGGGTCATGCAGCCTGCGTCCCACCTACTGTGATGTCTTGTGGCGCAGGGAAATAGCTTGCCCAGAGGTTGCTTCCTGCGGAGGGGCAGTGAAGGAAAGATGCCTGACCAAACCCATCCCACAAATTTGGCAGCAGCAGCAATATAGTGCTGTGTTGGCCAGGCTGCGGGAAGGTGGCTACGTGCAAGCCCAGACCTGCGTGGAGAGTGGTGTGTGCGCTGCTGTATGCTTACCGAGCAAGCTATCCCAACTAGTGGTGAGCGATACAGCCCAAAACCATCATAAAACAGACCCTCTGCAGTAAGTCCCAGGAGGGTGAAGGCATACTAAGAAGTGGTAGCCTTGACTGGACTTTCTGTCATATCCTTTGTCATCTTCTAGTCCTAATTTCTCTACTTGTTCCCTCTGTCTCCTTCCTGCCCTCTGCTTTCTCATGCCCCCTTGCAGACTAGCAGATTCTTTGGATACCAAGATGCCGTGTGTCATGAGCACAGAGTGCACATGGTTCTGCAGTTCAGTCGATTGCTAACAAGGCTGAGTCAGTTCAATGCAAGAGGGAGTTACTCAGGACAGCTTCCCAAACCCCTGCTTTATCTGCAGTTACGTATTGCTGGAAGCCAAGTATCCCACATCTGCCGCAAGCGCTGCACTTCAAGCAGGGAGAGCTTGCAGGGGTGTACTTATTAACTGCAGATCTGCAGCTAATCAACCCTGCCTTCTCTAGTAAGCAGTGCACAACAGGTTTTTTAAATAGAATGTAACCATGAAATAATTGCAACATTAGGAGGGCATTCTGTGGTGAAGGAATGATTAATTTTTATTCTTTCTTCCCGGTCTTGCTCTCTCAGTTCCCTAATATTGACAGTAAATTACTCCAGCTTTCAAACCTATGCAGTGTTCTTATGTTAGATAATTGTTTAAGTGCAGCACATCACTGGAAATCAAGCTTCATTTTTCCTCCTTCATATATTGCCCATTATAGCATACCTGGCAGTTCGGTTAATGGCCTGTGAAGCACAACAGAAACTGAACTATCCATCTGTACCTACCCCTTCTCTGAAGTGCTGACAAGAAGAAAGATGCCTATAGATAAAAGCAGCACATATGATTTGGAAGGCACAAGTGGAACATTAAAGGCCATTTTTACAATGCAATTAATATACTATAGCATTAAAGCAATATTTGCCTAATAACAGAATTCTTCTCTTTGTGCTTTGCACTGCTGGTTTGCCCACAATAAAATATTGTTGGAATCTGCCTCCACCCCCCTCAGCAGAAAGGAGCTGCGGACGAGTTTGGCAGTGAACATGTTCGCTGCCATAGGTTACCCCTAACGCATCTCTCCTGGGCAGCTTCTATCAGCAGCCGGCAGGGAAGCCCCTTTCCAGCATCCGAGTTTGCATGAGGGCCTGGCAGGGGAATGTGCTCCTCCGCTTGCAGCCAGCGCCAGTAAATTACAGCGTGACGGGCTCACCGCCTCGCCGCTGAACTTTTAACTTGAAGCTGTAGCAGGGCACTGAGCAGCTCTGGCTACATGACACGGAACTGTGAAAGTAAATCACTTCGCTGGGAACAAGGGGAAGTCCAGCATATTTTGCAGACTTGGCCTACAGCTTCTTTGCAGCATAAGCGTAGAATATATACACCCGGGAAGGCAATTAGAGAGAGATGGACTTCCAGCGCCGAGCTCACCCTTACCCCATCCCGGAGGATGAAGAGGTTGTACACAAGGTCACTCCTGATGCTCACAACTCTGCAGGAAACGAAGGCGAGAAACCGGTGTCAAAATTGCAACGTAGACACAGTGACATAAAACTCTACAAAGAGTTTTGTGACTTTTATGCAAGATTGTAAGTTTGTTCTGTTCAGCTTCGGGGTGTTAACTATGGTGACATTATTGGCGTATTGTATATTTGTATTTTATTATCTGAACTCTGGGCAGGCTGTGCAAGCCGTTCTCTAATGCAACCTTCGCCATGGTTCTGCTTGATACATTGCCAGTTGTAATCGTCAACTAAAATTTGAGCTGTTGCTTTAAAATTCATCATTAATTGTGTCAGAAATTTTTATTGGCAGTTGAGACAGCGCTGGAATTTGTCAAACAGTCTCTCTGACTTTAGGTTGTTTGCCTGTTATTTTGGGTGAACAGATAAACTGCTTCACTAATGCAGAAGTATTACGTACATCTCTGTTTTTACATATATGATGTGTTTCAAATCAAAGTGAAGTAGTTCTGTGTACTGAGGAGGAAAGCTTTATGCTTTTATTGGTTCTTGAACTTCATTTCATGTTTTTGCTTGGATTACACTTTGCATCTGACAGCACTTACCATTAAATAATGTTTTAAGTTTAGCATCCTTAGTGCTTGTGAACTGTTGAGGTGATGATGAACATCCCGGTTTCTGTTGTGATTATTCTTCATTTAGATTGATAAGGGGGACGGGTGAAGTGACTGGGGTTTTCCCCCCCAGAAAGCATACAGAATCCATGGAGACCATTGGCGAGCTTTATAGTTAACCACAGTTTATACCTATAATCACTGCAGTTCATCTGTAGTCTTGTCTGTTATGTATGGGATAGTATGGCGTAGACCATTCTCCATCTGATCTTGTGAAATTTGCCCACTCGTTGTTTCACTGAGAGGGCGGTGAATATTTGGATAGCAGTTACTGTTTTCCTCTTCTGCAAAGAACTCTAGAGAGGTGGGGGGGGGAAGAGCCAGCTAATAATAACTGGTCAGATGTGACCTTGCATAGGGCTCTTTTGTGAGACAGTGTAAGAAATAGATAAAGCACATTCCTTTTGAACCACGTGGTAGGTGTTTGCTTGCTCCCTCAGATGCTGTGCAAGGAATGAATTCAGTTCCTATTGAACCTGGTGGAAGCCAAGAGGTCTTATCCCCTTGGAGGGAAAGGCTTGGCATCTTGCAGAGGACTAAGGGCTTTGCACTTACAGGCACAGCATGGTATCTGTATCAAAATGTGTGCATGCATGCATATGTGTTTAAAATAAAGTCGGTTGTTTAATAAGCTTCCAGATAGATGTTTGAGTCAGTGGTTTTGTCAGCTGTGGTCAGATTGTAATGAAACTAGACCATTGCCCTGTATTTGCTCTCTGCTATCAAATGGTATTAGGGCAGAGAGGTGATCCTGAAAGGCATAGCTTTGAGAGTCTAGATATGAGTAAGAAAATGCTTGCAAAGGAAAAATCAAGTGAGCCTTTTTCTGGCACAGGAGCCTTAATTAACTGAAACACAGCTGTACTCTCTAATGCAGATGTGGACACGGTCCTCATGAAGTAGCTAATTCCTCTGATACTTCGCAGCTACTGCGCTGTCATTTTATGGTCACGTGCCTTTGAGAAGCAACCAAGGTTGCAATTTGAGTAATTTTTGCATTCCTGTCATGGGGTCACCAGCTGGTGTTGGCCTGTGTGTGGGTCACAGTGGGGCAGCCAGAGCATTCTTGCCCTCCCTCTTGGCCCTGGACCAACACCGGCACGCCGTGAGCTGACCTCCCCGAGATGAACCCTAACAAGCCAATCAAAAATCCCAGGATTTCAAACTAGATTTGTAAAATGTCTTCAAGCTATGCAAAGCTTATATAAGGCATAATTGTTTACTTGCTCTGGTTTTCAGTAATATCTGCCAGACTAGATACCGTACACTCTGTTACATTGCTTATTTAGAGCTTTTGAACCAATGCTGTTATATATATATTTTAGAATTAGGGATTATTTTGGAATTATCATTTATATTTTCCTGTGTGATGCCAGTCCTCAATTATTGTTAATATTTGCCATTGTTTTCTGTAATTCTAATGCATTTTCTCATCATAAAAAGCCTGTAAATGTATCTGTAGTAAAGACATTTCTGTTTGGTTTTTTGAACTAGTAGTTATTAGAGTGCGTTGTGGGGTTTTTGTTTCTAAAGAGCAGGGAGAAATGGCGGTTTTATTTCTGAGGGGATGCCACAAGTCACTAAGTCCATTAAAAAACTTGTACTGAGCAGCCAAGCGTTAGGCTGACGCAGTTGGCTTTGGGGGAAGAAAAGAGACCCACAACCAGTGGTGTTGCCTATTTGGGCTGATTTCCTTTCTTTTGTTTTTTTTATGACAGCAACATGGCAAACGCGCTTGCAAATGCCATCTGTGAGCGCTGCAGAGGTGGCTTTGCCCCTGCTGAGAAAATCGTCAACAGCAATGGTGAGCTGTACCACGAGCAGTGCTTCGTCTGCGCCCAGTGCTTTCAGCAGTTCCCCGAAGGGCTCTTCTACGAGGTAAGCCCGGCAGAGTGCCCCTCTTGCCCCCAGCCTTTGCCTTGTGCCTTCATTCCCGTACCAGAAGTAGCTATGGGCAGATCAATAGCTTAGAAATTTCCGTGGCAAGAATGGGGCTCCGAAAGGATAAGCGCAATAGAGGGAGAAAAAAGCAGAAATGCTTCTGTGCCAATTTGGAGGACATCAGTGTGTATAACCTTATTTATATGTGTAGCCTCATGTTCTCAGGGCTGAGAAAAGAACTACCAATGATTTCTCTCTCAGTGCAGACTTCTTCCCCTGAAATCTGTGAAGACAATCTATATATCATAGGAGAAATACAGAGAAAGCATACTTCTTAGAGGAGAACAGTCATATAGAAGGAAACCCCAGCATCCTGCAGTCCATAGGAGGTTTATTGTTGAGTTGAGTGAGTCCAGCATGGCATGTGAAAAGTTGCTTGTAGAGATGACCCATAAGTCAGCATGCTTAGATCAGGGTGTGCGGAGGTCCCAAACTAGACGGGGCCTATGTAGGGTCAACTGTAGGTTTAACAAACTGGAGCATTCAAAATTAGCAGTTCTCACACGCTTTCAAGGGTTAAAACCCACTCTCACTCATATTTCTCAACCCCAGGTAGATTGCCCTCAGCTCAGATGGGTATTTTGATATCAGTGTCGTTTTCTTTTGCCTTCCCCTATCATGGGGATTCAGGATGTGGCTCAGCAGTCTCAAGCACAAAGTGGCTTTAGTGAAAGCTTTAGACTAGTTCATAAAATATGAAGTGATTGGTTTAAGGAAGGGTAGATGATGTGAGACAGAGAGATAAGGTCCCGCTCAAGTAGCTTGTAGTCCAATTTACAGTAGCTGTTACAGGATTTATGTCATGCTGCGATCTGAAAAGGAAGGTGAGCGGCGTGTTAAAAGCACGGTGCTGTGCTCTCACATACAGTGTGCCATCCTTGTGGCAAGAGCTCAACAGTTTATCTTCCACAGTAGTATTTCTAATTTCACAGAGCCACGTTACGTGGTGATGAGGAGAGACTGAGGGAGGAGTGTGGATTGGGAAAGAGACTGGCAAAGGGGATTCCTGGGGTTTGCTTTCTCTCACCTTGTTTGAGGATCAAAAGACTTTTCAGTGCTGTAGGGATAGTGTTGCACAAATTGCAGTAAATGAGCCACTAGTGTTCTGTGAGACATCAAAAGGTGAGCTGCAAGGCAGTAGCAATTAAATAAAAACAAAACAAAACATCCCCTAGATACTTACGCATCACATTACAATTGTTAATATATACTGAGCTGCTGCCTGCTTGCAGGCATGGTAAGGAGTCCATCCTGACATGTTAAGACCTGAGGCAAACATAAAGTGATACGAATGTTTTAAAACTAAAATATTTGTATTTGTGTTAATAAAATTGTCTTAAAACAATGAAATGTATTTTCTCTAAATAATGAGTACTTTATTCATCCTTTTTCTGACTCAAAAAACAGTGAGACATTCCAGGGACCTCCTTCAGGAAGTTGAATGGTCCTTTGTTAAAGATAAAAGTTTGAGAAATCTTGCTCTAGGCAGCCTGTATCTCCTGGGGGAGGGACAAGGACCGCAATGGAAAGAAAGTCTTACTTTTGCACCTACCCCAGGAATATTACAACCTCTCTGTTGCTCACAGGTGGCCATACCTGAATCTCTTTGGCAGGGGCCAGTATCCGGGTCATGTTTAGATATATTGGATGTAGGCATTTTGCTTCCTACTGCTACCTTGATAACATTCATACTCATTATGGTTGGTCTTTAAGCACTCTTACTGCAAAGTGATGTTCCCTGTTAAAGACAATAAGTCAGAAGTGAGTGTCAGTAGATTGTCCTGGGAATGAAAATAGCCCCATGTACTAAACGTGTTCTGGTTAACATTGCTAGGGTTTTTTTCAGGCTGGGGAGAGACTTTGTTCTTGAGAAATGTTACATAGAAAGTGGAAGGTTTCAGTTAAGAATACACACTTTTAGCCACAGCTATTATAGAGGTAAAATAATTGTGATGAGGATTGAATGAATATGTAAAGACTTGTGTGTGGCTTAAACTTCACATCACCCTTCTGCCTGTGGCCCTTTTAGTGTACACCATAAGATCTTGCAGTTTCTCTCCACACCAGCAAGTCTGTCTGCTGCTGTTGAAGAGAGGTACTTTTTGGTCTGTTTAAGCCCTCTGACAGCCTTCAGGTGATGGCTCATAAATCTCACCCAGCTTTCCTCCCTCATCTATACTGGCTTGTCCTGGTCATCTTCTAGAGAGTGGAGAGGTCAGCGGATATCCGTGCTGTCCCGGTCCTTGTGCCTTTCAGGCTGTTTCAGCTGGGAAATCTTCGGCAGGGCCTTCTCTGTCTCTGCACCTTTTAGGATGTCCACGTGTGTCCTGTGCTACCAGAAAGACTCTCATTTAGCACTGAAGTGGCCAGCGAGATGATTGCAGTGGAAACCCCGACATGTTTCCTGGTGGTGCTACTCAGTGAAAAGGGCGGGCAAGGGCACAGGTTGCTCTTCTTTCATTCGGCACCTTGGTACTAGAGATGAGAACATACCGGGTGGCAGCATTTGGAGGAGAGGGAGGGACAGCCTTAAGCAGGTGGAGGGTGGATTTATGTTGGCCCATGCTCAGGAGATAGCCGACAGTGCTCTGAAGACTTGAGATGATCTGTATCACTGTCACAAAAAAGTGACTGGAGAAGACAGGCAGAAAGGATGTCTTCCTCTGACTGGCTTAATGCACTCTTTGAGAAGATGGATGCGTTTGGTGGTGTGGCCAGGTAACGTGTTTTTCTGAGCAGGTTCCCCATGGGTAAACACAGGCATTGTTGGTTGCCCAGCATGAGTTTGTGTTTATTCTGTGCCTGGTTTAGCTAAGCTAGTGTTCTTGGAAATGATTTCCAGCTTTTAGCAATCGGGAAGTCAAATATTCTTCCCCTGCCTATTGCAAGCCTTGCAGAATTCTTCCAGTTAGTCATTAAGTTGCTTATCACATTTGCCGTCAAATGCTGACATGATAAGCTTTCACACTGTGTTCCATGGGCGGGGGCTGAACTGGTGAGGTGATGTTGTGGGACGTGTCCCCGGGCTGCCTGCAGGGACCCCGATCAGCACAGCTCACGGTGGTCTGCCACCAGAGCCGAGACACTTGCAGGCACAAGCAGTGCCATGCCGGACCAGTGCCCATCCACAGCTTGGAGTTTGCACAGCATAGCAGGAATTTTGTTGATGTCCTCATGAGCTTCTGTTAGAAATTATAATACAGATTTGTAACCAGACAGTGTTGGCCTTGTTGCATAAGGGTGTAAGCGAGAGCTGTGTGCCTAATGTTGCACGGGAACTGTGGGTTTAGGGTATATTTGTGTTCCAGTTTGCTCAGTATCATCAGTTTAGCATCTTTTCTTACGCACTCAGCCTAAACAGAAATTAGCACAAGCACGTGCCAGCAGAGTTTCCGAACTCGTTGTGCTTTGCCATCAGAAGTGAAGTGGTAGCAATTCTGGTCTGTTTTTACTCGACTGCCTGGAAACTGTGTATTCCCTAGAGCTGCTGTTGTAGAGTCTTACAACAGGTAGCAGTGCACAGTCCTATATTGATAGCAGAGCAGTTGGCTTAAATGGAGAGCTTTGGTGGCAGCATGCTCAGAGGGACAGGTTGGCCCCACTGTAATCAGTCAGTGGGCATTTCCTCCAACCCACGTTACTCTTGGGCCCAAGAATGGCTCCTCCCTACTAGAGGTTGCCCGTGTCTCCCACTGGGGAGTGTGGGCACCTCACCTTCAGACAGGGGAGGTTAGGAGAGATGAGTCCTACCCCTGGCCCAGCTGTTCGTTAACAGCCTCTTGCTGGGTGCTTTCAGAAGAAACCCAATCTGCTCTGCGCTGCGCGGAGGTGGGGGAGATGGAAGGGCTTAGAGAGGTGCATCCCACAATAGAAGAAATACAGCAAAATCCTTATGGACTACTCATAAGAGCTGTAACTGGGGAATCTGTATCACTGTTGTTGTTATGATGATGATGGTGATGACTATTATTATCTTAAAATAAAATGGAGTGGCATGTGACTTGTCTCCTAAATGAGAGGGAGTTCCTTTCGGTTTGGTGGGGTTTCTAAAGTGTTTGTAATAGCCTATAGGAAGTTTAAAGGAAGGTGCAGCTGCAACGCACTTGTCAGATTTGTTTCTATTCCAGTGGCACCTTGAGTGTTTTCTTAAAATGGGCTTTGCCAGAAACTACCTTAGAGAAAGGGTCTTTAAAGACTCAGTTTTTGTGCATGTCTTTCCACTGAGTTAGCTAAAAATGTGGAGATCAGCTGGAGGTTATGTCATGGTGAAATGTTCTATGCAGAGCCATTTAACATATGGACCTCCAGCATACAACAGTTACATGACCTTGCTTTTAAAATATGTGCTGTGGGATTTGTTATAGAAGCTCAAGGCTTTCTCTGACAGATGAACTGCTGGGTCATCCACAAAAGGCAGCACAAATGAGCTGAGAAAGTTGAAAATATAAACAAGACTGAATGGTAACCAACCTGCCTGATGCAAACCAGAGGGGAAGAAAACCTGTTTGGTCCACCCAGATCAACATGGGATGGCTGTGAAATCCAAGCAAACCTGTGCATCTCATAGAATCATAGAATAGTTGGGTTGGAAGGGACCTTAAAGATCATGTAGTTCCAACCCCCCTGCCATGGGCAGGGACGCCGTCCACTAGACCAGGCTGCTGAAAGTCCCATTCAGCCTGGCCTTGAACAATTCCAGGGATGGGGCATCCACAATTTCTCTGGGCAACCTGTTCCAGTGCCTCACCACCCTCATAGTGAAGAATTTCTTCCTTATATCTAATCTAAATCTACCCTCTTTCAGTTTAAAGCCATTACCCCTTGTCCTATCACTACATGCCCTTGTAAAAAGTGCCTCTCCAGCTTTCTTGTAGGCCCCCCTTCAGGTAATGGAAGGCTGCTATAAAGTCTCCCCAGAGCCTTCTTCAAGCACATTACTTTACTTTCTGTCTGTGCACCAAAACTTAATTTGTGGGTAGTATTTTATGCTATTCGCTTTGTTTTGTCTTAGACCAAGTAAAAAGGAAGGAGTGGGGTTTCCTGCTACCCCCCTTTTCCAGTGTTTTAAACTGAGACATTCAAATTCAAACATTTCATAGCATACCTAATATTGTCTGTCTGGTCTTGACATGCTAGTTGGCATGTGTGTCTAGTAATGATGTGCCTGAAGGTATCTAAACATTGCCCTTCATTTCAGGACATATTTTGCCTACATGTTTTTACATAGTCTGCAGCGAAGCTGCTAATGTGGTGCTGTAGAATTTTTTTTTCCCATATGTTTTTTTTCTATGCGAGCTTGAACTGCAGCTGAACTTCTCTAAGCTGTGAGAAATTCAGATCCAAATCCAAATCCCTTAAGCTCAGTTCCCTATTTCATCTGGTCGATGTAGTGAACTTTGTTCCTTAACAGTTGGGCTTGATGATCTTAAGGGTCTTTTCCAACTGAAATGATTCTATGATTCTATGAAATAAGCATCACAAAGGAAAAGCCTTATTTCCCTTCAGGTTTTGGCTGTACTGCTCCATAAATTGCAAAGATTTCTGTTCCTGGGTGTTGTTCCTCCCCCTGTACTTACTTCCTCTGGTATGCTGGGTCATTCTTGCAGAAAATGTGGAGTGAGGAAGAGATCAAATGGGTTCAGGGAAAATGCTTCCCCCCAGGAAAGGTTTTCGTTAGCTAATTTCCTGCCCAGAATTGGCTCAGTTGCATCAGAGTTTCTGCAGTCTGTCAAAATTCAGATGTCTCTTGTGATGTAAATGGGTGACAGAAAATGCCTTACACTCTCAGCAGTATTAGAGGAGTGGTGTGCTATTAACGCTACATGCTAACTAGTAGCTGAATTAAGGTGGGTGGTTTTAATGCCTAGCACATGGTCTGTTTTTTTCTGCAGCCCCTTATGTTTTACTACCTAATTGCATCTGGAAACAAACTGGTATGTTATGGCATTTATGTTAAGGGCATGCTCCTCATCCCTCTAACACTCAGATTTTTTTTCCATTTGCAGTTTGAAGGGAGGAAGTACTGCGAACATGATTTCCAAATGCTTTTTGCCCCTTGCTGCCATCAATGTGGTAAGTTTTACACCAAGGTGAAACACTTCACACTGATCCCAGATAGGAACATCAGTGGAGGAAGATGTGCAGCCCTTGTGTATCTTCTCTGGGAGATGGCCCTGTATGGCTGAGCATCTGAACTTCCAGAATGAACTACATTTCAGAGAATTTGGGGAGCTGCTCTTCCTAAAGGTCATAAAAAAATGGGATTTTTTTTTTTTAAAAAAGTTTGCATTATTTGAGTGAGTAGTTTAGCTGTTGATCCATCCAGTCATCAAATGAACAGACCATTCATGACTCCTGGTTATATACATCTACATGCATGTGCTCATGCAGCTGAAACCCTGCAACAAGTCTTTGTCACCTGCTTTGACTATTGTAACTCACCTGTGCTGTACTACTATTCCACAGAAGTGGGGTCAGTCTTTGTCATCTAGTGTTATAAATCAACTGATGGGTCAGCTGGTCCCCCTTCGTATTTTTGAAACAAGTACCTTTAAGGCTTCAGCGTCTGATGTTAACCCTACGTAACACTGAGGGCTGTGTTTTATTTGCCACTATTGATGTAAATGCTTGCGTGTCTGCTGTGCTGTAATCATTTGCAAGTTTTGTCCCTCTGTGTGTGACGCATCGTGCTGGGGCAGGGCTGGGAAGTCATTACCTGGCTCTTGCTTACACCAGTCTGGAAGCTCTTGTGTTTCTGTGGCACCTCAGCAAGGTGCTATGGCTTTCGCTTATCTCAGTGAGGCCTTTCCCTTGTGTGGAGGGAGGGGTTGAACACCAAGGGAGAGGGAAGCAGATGTTGTGGACCTTTCAATCTAAAGCCGCAGATGTGAGCAAGCAGGGGAAGAGGAAGAAAGGGGTCAGTGGCGATTTCTGAGCAAGTCTAAAGTACAGGACAAACCAGGAAGTCTTGTCACCTCATCCCACTGGCTGGTCACTTCCCACATCTGAGTGCTCCTTGTGCTCCTCCAGTCACTCCGCAGCCCCCTTCCTTCCTCCCCTTCCTGCTCCCTTGTGCGGGGGCCTCTTCTGCTTCCCTGCTCCTTACCTCTAAAGACCTCATACCTAACCCCTTGAGATGCAACGTGCCGCTCTTACGCTGCTGACTTCTGCTGGTGGCTGTTAGCACCTATACTCCCCCCAGGAAGCTGAGTAGAGGGGCCTTCTCCTCTTCAGCATCCAGGAGCTGAAAGCATCTTTGGCCCCAGCCAGGGGTAGCATGGAGGAGCTATGCTGCCTATTTCCAGGATTTCTCCTCCCCAGCTCCCACTGCTCCTGCCCTGGCTCCTCATAGCACCAGCTCCCTTAAAACCTCATGGGGGTCCTGCGTGGAGCTGGGCTTTGCCACTGCTTGGATTTAGTAAGCGTGGCTAAAATTGATGGGGCTGTTGTCAGTGACGAGGCCTTGAGCATTCCCAACATTTTTAGAGTCCATCAAGTTTTGTTCTTGAAAAGCTATGACTTCATGGGAGCGCCACACATTCACATGCTAGATGTTACCATCTGCATTTGTTACTGCCCAATTGCTCCCCTTTGGCAGCTGTTTGAGTTGGTGGCTCCCTGGAGCCAGGACTCAGCCTCCCATGGCACTGGGAAGCTGAGCTCCCAATGTGTTTTAGGCAGAGCCTTTGCACTGCTCAGGGGCCTTGGCTACAACATCCACATAGAGAATGACTAAATCACGTGTGTGGTGGACATGGCTCCACTGCCTGTGCAGTACAGTCACACCGTGCATGCAAAGCAGTAGTTCTTACATTATTCTTTTAATGCCTCACAGGACAGGACTCCTCATGGTAGGTCAGAAGTTGTGTGTTTTGGATTGACTGTTCTGCAGCTTCACTGCGCCTTTGTGTTTTGACTCTGTGGGGTTTTTTTTGCAGGAGGTCCACAGCCACCCAAGCTCAGTTCTGTTGTGCTTTGAGTATAGAGCCCCTTCAGGGCTTGGTCCTAGTCACATAAGAAAACACTACTATGTACACGACAAGTTAAAAGTGTCATCTTCTAAAAGAAAAGAAGGAGAAAGATGGTTAGGGCACAAGAAAGCCCTATTATATAAATAATTCCATATATTTCTTAACAGTTTGACAACAGGTAAGTAAAAACAGGGAAGGGACTGAAAAAGGATGATTGCAGAGAGGTGGAGTGTGCATGTAGAAGGACTTGTGTGTAAAGAACAGAAGGTCCTCCATCAAGCAAGAATGTTTTCTTCTGACCCATAGCAAAAAACCCAAACAAACCCAAATTCCAGAGTTTAGAACCCGAACTGTGATACTGAAAGCAATGTATCCTACCAGAATTGGGGGGGAGGAAGAGGATGATGATGTCATTGTAGCAATTTGGTTGTGGGTTTCTTTTAAGTTTGTGTAGCATGGCATTTTACATTCCAGTGTTGTGTTTCTTACAGGTGAGTTCATTATTGGTCGTGTTATTAAAGCTATGAACAATAGCTGGCATCCAGAGTGCTTCTGCTGTGATATCTGCCAACAAGTGTTGGCTGATATTGGATTTGTCAAGAATGCTGGCAGGTAGATCTTCACCCTTCCTTCTGTTACTGATCATGAATAAAATGAACTGAGAGGGGACTGAGAGGTTTTGGTTCCTGAAGCTTTTCAGCTGAGGTGGAGCAACTGAAGCATCTTTTGTGGGGAAAAGGCCTAAGAGTGCATCACGAAACTAAGAATGGGTATCTTAAAATATACACTTAAAATATTAACAGTTTACCTACTTCAACACCAGATTTCTCAGCAAACGTGTTCTCTACCTGGTAACATTTTGGGGCCATTGTGATACGTAATAAGAGAGAAAACATTCAGATACAGAAGCATTGTCTTTATTTTTTTACTATCAGTTTTTACTTTCTTTTTCCAACTTGGGTTTCCAATTTTGGTCTAGTTTAGCACCTTACTTATTAATAATTGCTTTAAGTTCAGTGGGATACTTCATAGAGTAGGACATTTTTACCAGCTGTGATCACAAGAATGTGGGTTCTGTGGCCATTGTGTATGATGATATTCATAGTTATTTACAGAATTAGGACCAGTGTGATCATGCAGCTTCCAATCTAAATTTTGAAGATTTTGAGAATAAAACATTCAGCAATGAGAATCTATCAGAAACTTTGTTTTCTGTGTTTCATCACAGCCTAAACTCAAATGAGCTGAAGAAATTATATCCCTGTGATGACAGAAAATAAAATGATAGCCCTCCCTTTTCTGAACTTGGTTCGCCTGACAGGAAATTGTTTTAAAGGCTATTTTCCCCCCAAAAAGGGCTGCTTGAAATGAGATTCTGATAGGTTTTTTGTTTACATTTTGCACTGTAGTACCTGGTACCAGTACTTACCTCTCTTTTTTATGCTGTTTCAGACATCTCTGCCGTCCTTGCCATAACAGGGAAAAAGCCAGAGGCCTGGGAAAGTACATTTGCCAGAAGTGTCATGCCATTATTGATGAACAGCCTCTCATATTCAAAAATGATCCTTATCACCCTGATCATTTCAACTGTGCAAACTGCGGGTAACTTGAGTTTTGCAAAGGAAAACAGGAAAATGCTATGTTTATTTGCTTCATTGATTTACATCATAAAGTGAAAACCTGTCCTATACCACTGGCAAGAGGGGTGGGGTTTGGGTGCCTTGCGGCCAGATGTATGTTACTGCTTTTGGGATGGTGGAGTTGGACCTTGAGTTCAAACAACAGCTGAGCTGTTGAGGGGTAAAGAAATGTTGGACTCTGCAGGACAAAGTGGTGCCTTACAAAATACGAAGTATTATGTTATGCAAATCTAAAGTAAACTGGTGATAAGAGTGCCAGAATTTAAACCAAACATGTCTTCAGCTTGCACACACACATTTGTGCTATGTAACTGGAGTGCAGAATGACAATAGCTCAGCAGCTGTCTTCAAAGAGACTTAGTGCATCTCGCTTAGCAGCCTGTTCTCAGTATACTGTGATCAGTCTTGAACTATGTTGAACTATGTCATATCTGATGCTGCTGCATTACTGTAGTACAAATACAATTTCTAAAACAAATGCTAAAAATTATTTTTTTCTTTTCAGAAACTCTCAAGAGTTGACATTGTTCAATGCCTTTATTCATGCTCTCAATCCATTAACTTCTGAACAGGAAGGAACTTACTGCTGATGCTCGTGAGTTGAAGGGAGAATTATACTGCTTGCCTTGCCATGACAAAATGGGTGTCCCCATCTGTGGGGCATGTAGAAGACCAATTGAAGGCCGTGTGGTGAACGCTATGGGCAAACAATGGCATGTGGAGGTAAACATCAGATGATACATTGTCTTTTCCAAACATAAACATTAACATACTTATCTGGGATTTTGATGATCAATTTCAATGAAAGGTTTAGCAAAGTATGCAGCAATGATTAGTAAATGCTTTCTCCTAATCCAATCTTCAGCCTTCTTGTGGCTGGTCTTCCACTGTGAAATAGGAGTTATCTCCTGCCTTGCAGAGAGCTTTGACTCTGAAGCTAAAATCTGTAATCAAAGGAAGCACTGTGAGGTCCTTATAGAAGAAAATCTCAGAGTGCAAAACAGTACATGTGGAAAGGCAGTAAAATTCTGTGGCAACCATAATATTACTGAGCATCATTACGTCTTCCATAGTCACCTGCCATGTAAATATCTCTAAAGCACTTTATGTGTGGGTTCATATTTCAGGGCCATGTACAAGACTGAGGAAGATAAAGTCTGTTCCTTTTGTTGGTTTGAAAATTGCCTCCAGCAAATGCTTTCTTCACAAGAGTGTAATGTTGGTGCAAATTATTTAAAATCTCTTCATTCTGTTCATTGATAACATACCAGAATCCCTTTGCTTGATTTTTCTTTTTGGTAACACTTGGATTGAAATGTTGAAGACACTAAAAGGAGCATTAATTTAGTGGTCTAAATGTAGAAACAAAAAAGTTTTATCTTTCCTTTTCAAGATGGCACAGCTAGCTCAGTAGACTTCAGTCATGTTCAGTACTGGGTTTGGTTGGTTTGCTTTCCAGAAAAATGCCATTACTTCCAAATAATAATTAAAAAAATGTAATTTTCTTTGTAGCATTTTGTTTGTGCAAAATGTGAAAAGCCATTTCTGGGTCATCGTCATTACGAGAGAAAAGGCTTGGCGTATTGTGAGACCCACTACAATCAGGTAAGGTTGCATATTTTTAAAAACAGTGTTAATTGGTAAACTCGTGAATTGGTTTTATTAGACAGAGATGGAAACCCATGGACATTCTTCTGTTTTCTTACAGGCACTTGTGGGTGTAATGCCAATTAGCAGATGTTGTGTTGCAATTAATTTATACAGGTTTCTCTATACATTGGTCTGGTATTGAGAAAGAAAACTGCAGGGATTTCACAAAGGCTAGGCAGTATTGGGTTGTTCTTCAAGCTTAGTGGTACTTAAGTAGAGCTGTTACGAGCTTTTACATGTCTGTGAGATCAGAGCAGCTAATGACACCCAGTCTTTCCCAAGAAGCTGAAGAAGATTTGCCATTCAGTAGCTGCGGTTTAAGACGAGGTCCTAGTGAGTAGGGTGGTTTTCCCTATAGCTGCTACTCTTAAGATGACTGTGTGTTAACATCATACACTGCATCACCCAGCTCATTCATTAGGTTGCTGAAGACTGCCCAGACTAAATTTGTCAGAGGACACCACCTGGTGACCACTTGCATTTAGATAGGAGTTACATACCCTGGTACCATCTCTCTCCAGGCTCCCTTGATTGTGTAGTCCAGCACCACCATGTATAGACCTTTTTATTTGGAAGCCATCTGCGTTGTGTCACGTCCACCTCTTCGCTTGTATAAATACAAGACTAGGGGTGACATTTGGGAGTTGTAACGCATCTGCTAATTACAGATGGATTCTTAATTTGTCAGTGATGAAGGGCAGATGATTGAAATGTTGCTGGCATACTTGTAGACAATAAATGCCATGACGCTGGTAGTAATAGTGTTGAAGCCATGATGGGGCAAGTACGTATGCCAGACAAGAGCTATATGTAGAGTGAATGTCTTTTACTAGGTTAACTACTGCAGTTAGAAAATACATGAAATTTTGGGAACTTCTTAATTGTTACATTGTGGACAAATGTTAAGCCGCAAAATAAAATGAATAATTTTTGGCCTGAATTTCCTAATTTCCTTTTTTTTTTTTTCCCCTCAAAAATAAAAATAACATTTCTTTACAGTTTTTGCCAGAAACAGCAATATGTTGTTCTAGTGATGCATATAAGTCCAAATGTTAAATTGGTTGATTAGTAACGATGTGTATGTGACACTGACTGTTGTATTTCAAACGTTCAGGATTAGGGAAATATTAAAACAAAACAAAATCATATTTACAGAGGATCAAACAGATGTAAACAAATGTTTTCATCTTTAATATTGCAAAGACTTTTTGTGGTGAGATGATGCAAAACATACTTGGAAAACCAAACCAGACTTGCCAGCATTCTCTTTATTTTACTAAAAGAAATGGGAAAGCTATTCTGCTCATCAGCTGAAATATAGTTATTTTGTTAGTTTGAGAACCTACCCTTGATAAAATCATTACATTAAAAAATTAATTACTTCTCTTTTGTCTTCAGCTATTTGGTGATGTTTGTTTCCATTGCAACCGTGTGATTGAAGGAGATGGTAAGCACTTTTCTAACTGTTTTCTTAATGTTCCTTTCTGATGGAAGTTCTCTTTAAAAGTGGAAGTAAGGGGAAAGCAGCCCCCCGTTAAATCCTTGATTGTAGTTATTAAACCAAAACCAGCGATTCTCTTGATCAGAAGTTAGGTTAGAGCTGATAAGTCAGAGACCAAATGGTAAGAAAACCTTACAGCGAGCATTTTGTAATGGTAGAAGACCACTCAGTGGCTGAAGAGAACTGTGGTCAACTGGAAACCCCTTAGTGACATGAAAAGGCCAGAAATGCTGGGAGGTGCACAGAAGTGGCTTCCTGCCCCACCGTCTTTGAAAAAGAACACGTGTGAAGGTGAGAATGACCACACAGGCATCTCCTCAAATTAATTTAGGGATCATGAACCAAATTTGAAAAGGTATTCAGATATTGAAAGACATGGGTGGGCCCTCTAAGGGATTTTTTTACAGTGACTAGTTCCCATTATGTCAGTTTGGTTCCTAGAGATATTTACCTATCACAGGCACCTGTCTTTTGAAAATCTAGGCTGATGATAATGTCACAAAACCAGGAAAGATCATACTTGGAAAGACTGTCTTGTAAAGGCAGAACTGGAAGCAGGTGGTTTAAGTTTGGGGGTTTTTTTTGTTGTTTGGTTGTCTTTTTGGTTTGTTTTTTTTTGGGGGGGGGGGAGATTGGACAACCAGCTATGATAAAATGGCAAAAGCAAATTATTCTACCTGAAATAGTGCAACATTATGTGCCTATTTACCCCTGCCCAAAGTAAATATTATAATACCAATGTTAGCCTCACCTAAGCCCAAGCCATTAGCAAAATAGGAGGAGCCTCTAGCACGTAAAAAGAGACATAAACTAGTAGTCATGTAACTACAGGGTGAGACCTACATTCCAGAGATGTGCTTTCCCCACATTTTCCGGACTGGACTATACCTGCAGAACGACAATCCAAAATGCTGGCAGGAAACAGTGTCCTCCTCTTCAGTAAAATCCTATTAGAATGAGCAGAACTGGAACTTGAGGTGGATGAATAAATTCAGCCTTGTCTGATAACCACACCTCTGTATGTTTCTAACCTTTCACCATATAATCTGATACCTATGTTGTATGTTTTAGTCTCTGAACTGAACAGAATATTGTGTAATGCAGTAATTTCTTTATTTTCAATGTACATCTTCAATTATTTTACATTTCTTCTCCCATTTCTGCACACAAAGTTGACACTGCTGTCACAAATTATGAGTATCCAATATTGTTCTCTCTCTCTGGTGAAACAAATGTCTGTGGCAGCAGTTTTTCAGGAGGGTGTCTATGACTCTATTCCAGAGGTTGCTTGGGAGTGAAGACTTTCATCTGACTAGTATTATTTTGGCAAGCAGTGGAATTACTATGCTTCTGTGGTTGTGCTTGCTGCATAGTGCAGGAAAAAAACCTCTGCATGACAATGTTCTGGTTCTGTTTGTTGTTGACAAAATGCTGTATTTTATGAGAAAACCATTTTCCTGCATTTGTAACTCAGATTAAGAAGAGAGGCAAATTTTGGCAGGGAAAAGTGGAAAGGAACACTGAAAGAGAGGAAGAACAGAAAATGGATTAAAATACAGAACAAAGAGAAAATAGTTACTTTCTCTCCAAAGCAAAGAATAAAAATATATCCAGGTTTGTCTTGATCAAGTAATTTATCCCACGAGTCCATGAATTTTTTCACCTTGGTAGTGCTGATTTACCAGCAGTGTCCTGACTGCTGGCTTCATGTTATTTTCTTCGGCCAGGCAAGTGCTACTGTTGATGGCACTGCAGTCTGAACAGGAGCTGAGAAATGAAACCAAATGAAAACATAAACACCTTCTTGCTGGATTGCTTTTCAGCTGAAAAAGTCTCCTGATTAAGTTGGAAACACAGCCTCATAAAACAGTTGCCTGAGGTCAGCATGCTATGAGATGAGGTGGAAGCAGGCAACAGGAGGCAGAAAACTGGTCTTGCTGGTGAACACAGAGTTGTAGGTACCCTCAGAGATGGTTTTATCAATGTTTCATGGTCCTGCTACACTGCACTCATATATACCTTCCAAGCCTTGCCACATTATTCTTACAGGCCTTAATACTTGATACAAGAAGCAAATGGCTGTTCTTCATGCCTCATGAAAGTGGGAGCTTAAAATTTTTGTAATGCCTTTTTTTTTTTTTTCCTGTAATGCTAATGATTTCTTTTTTTTTCCTGTTGCCCTAGTTGTGTCCGCTCTGAACAAGGCATGGTGTGTGAACTGTTTCGCTTGTTCAACTTGCAACACTAAGTTAACACTCAAGTAAGTTTATTGATAAGTGTGATGCCTTCGAAACATATCAGCAGTTATCTTCAAAGTGTAGATGTTGCTATAGTGTAACTGTTACAGTATGTAAAACATGTAAGCAGCACTGAGAAAATACGTGCATCTTTTTTCCTCTTGCTCCACTTACTAATTTACATCTCTTTCAGCTGTCTGTTCAGGTCTTCTTTCAGTTAGTCTTCTTAACTCTTCTCCTTTTCTGTCCTTTATTTTTTCTGTGTTTAACTCTAAAGGGATAAGTTTGTTGAAATTGATCTAAAACCTGTCTGCAAACACTGTTATGAGAAAATGCCAGATGAATTTAAGCGACGACTTGCCAAACGGGAACGTGAAGCAAAGGATAAAGAGAAGCAGAAAAAGAAAAAGCCAATCTGTTTGTAAACTTTATTTCCTTCTCACTCCACCACTGCTCCTTTCTTCTTTGGTCAGTGCTAAGGATGCTTTTATTTTAAGTTTTTACACGAATTTATAGCAATCAAAACCAAAATATTTTTCACACAACTGCAACTTGAAATATTAACTTGTTATTCCATTATCTTATGTTTAGTCTGTTTAACTCTACAGTTAGGTTTGAAAGGCTTTTTAAATGACACAGTTAATAAACATGGACATTTGGGTAAAAACTGCATAACTTACTCAAGAGGGTACTGTAATTACTGTCTACAATGTATAACCTTGTGAAAGTAACTTCATATATATGTATACATTGCAATTGTAATTTTTTGCCTGTGCATGTTTAATAGAATACTTTTTAAAATTTTTTTTCATTATCCCTGCTACTAAAACTTTGGGGTTTGCTTTGTCGTTTTAGGAATAAATTTGTTGAGTTTGACATGAAGCCTGTCTGCAAAAAGTGTTACGAGAAGTTTCCTCTAGAGCTGAAGAAAAGACTGAAGAAACTAGCTGAAACTTTGGGAAGGAAGTAAAGACTTCATCTGCTCTCCCCTTCCTTTGTAAAAATCTTACATGTATTACTTGGGGGGAGGGGGCGCTTTGAGGCTGCAATCAGACAGCAAATGGTGATGTATGTCTTCTATCAAATTGAAATATCTTAAGATTCTCTGTTCTCTGTACATGTACATATATGCTTATTGGTTGATAAACTTACCATACATCCAAACTAAATTAAATACCAGCTCACCTGAAAGGTTTCTGACCCTGATAATGCAGTTGAACTGATGCAAGTGGCCCAGTAATCTCCGCGGAAATTTAGAGAGACAGAAAATTTGCTTGTGAATACCTGCAAAAACAAACTGTGCAAATGTGTCCAACTTTAAGGGCAGGTATCGTCATTTCTATTAATGAAAGTATTAACATTCAAATAAAGCATGCACGCAAAACTTGCCCAAGTCAAGTGACTTGGGCAAGAAACGAACATACTTTGCCTCATGGAAAAATTCACGCTTGGTTTTCAGGCCAAGTCATCTCATCAGAAGAGCCTTGTTTCAGATGGTTTGAAAAGTATTAGATTTCTAAATACAGTCACTGTACAATTAACCTACTTCTGATAGATTATGCTTATATGATGAATCTTTGTACATCAGGCTTAGCATGAAATACCTATATAAAATATATATTCCTATTGCAAGAAATGAGCATACTCAGAACTACTTGAATTTTGCTATATTCCACTCAAAGTAACACATTAACTTTCATATATGCTTTTGCATTCTATTTCCTTTTTGTGCCTTATTCTGCTGGACCATACATAACAGTGTTCCATTAAATATATATATATCGTTTTATTTTTTATTTCATATTTTTATGCAGAAACTATATACAAGGTATTTTCAAAAGGTAACATACTTTGCCATAATTATACAGGATGCGAGAAGCATTTTATTTCAAATGTGAACACCTGAGCTTAAAATATAGCTTCTAGACTTCATTAATTTTCAGAACAATACTGAAAATGCGTATTTCAGTTAACTGGCAATATTACTTTTACACCTATGAGTGTAAATATACAAGGTTTGATCCTGCTAGGATCTATTGCTTTAGCCATCCTCAAGAACTGAGCTCACAAATCATCAGAATTCCTTATAACATACATTTAATTGTTTTATACTGTTGACTTCTGTCTATGCAAATTTGTTTTATTTTCCCCTTTCTTATAGAAAATACTGTTACTTAGGACTTCTTGATGGTACTACCTTACGAAGTACGCAAACATTTTAAATTTTTTTTATATTAGTGACTTAAACAGATTTTATGTAATTACATCATAGGAAGTAAAATTTTCTTTCCTGTTTATGAAAAATTAGTTGCTTTAAAACGTCTGCTTTTCAGTGTCATCAATAAAGGCTATGTTATTAAACCTTGTATCACCTCTCTTAAATGAGTGCTTGAGAAAGGTGGGAAAGCAACTAGGCTCTCTTGGAGATTTCCCAGACCTTTGTGGGCAGTATGTTCCAGTGCTCAGTCACCCTCATGGTGAATTTTTTTTTTTTATTATTATTGGAGTCCTATCTGAAGTGGCGAGTTCCCCAAATCCACACTGCTGTCTTGGGAGCTGTCTTTGGAGCGAGCTATTGTTGAAATAATACCCCTGGACATTGCTATGAAGAGGATTAATTAAAAGCACTTGCAAAACAGAGCCAGGGAGCAAGCCAGCTATTAGGCAGCCTAGGCAATTACAGGTTTGGTGTTGAAGCTCACTTCCTGGCCTGTCAGTACTATATATATTTTACATAGCTGGACACACTTCCCTGAAGGAGGCAGTGTTTATTATTGTTTTTCTACCCATGACCCCTGCTAGGTCTCTCAAAGAAGGCTGTGAGCCTGGGATGTGGGGATGGATACCTCAGGAGCTTTGCCCCTTTCTGCTGAGTGGGATCAGTCACGCACGGGCAGGAGAGATTCCTTTTGAAGCTCCTGCTTAGACTAACAGTAGGGAGCACTTCAGAAATCCCAGCGGATGTAGCTGTAGGGAGAAGCAGCTGAGCCTAAAGCCTTTCTGCCACTGGCAGCGGCAAGCCCTGTGCTCTGTTCCAGCAGATAGGCAGCGAGCCAAGCTGAGCACGGTCAGGTTGCAGGGACAGCACCATGACAGCATGAAGGCCATTTCCCATGCCTCCCCATCAACTGAAGAGCAGAAATTCCCTCCAGTGAGCCAACTCTTAGCATTCTCCTCTGCACTAAGCACCAAGACTTTTATTACTTAGCCTGGCAGGTGCTGATAAATTATTTGGTAACCCCAGTTGTAGACACACCATTCAAAAAAGTAGAGAGAAAAAAAGATCCTCTTTCTTCTTAGAGGATTAAATCCAATGTGTAAATGTCACCATTAATAGAGCAAATAATAAAAGAGAGGGTTAATTCTTTCAGCCAGGGTGTTACATGGATGCTGCTGGTCTGCTTACAGGAACAAGTTGGGTTATGTTTTTTTACTTTGCTGGCAAAGATGGTAAGAGCTTTGGGGATGTCAGTATTTTTTAGGTGTAGCAGGAATCGTATGGCTGTCAATGGGTTGCTTCAGATTGAGACAAATTTTTAATGACACTTCTCTAGAGACAGAGCCCAATGGCCTCATTTTGACCCAAGTGCCTGAACTGGCAGGGGAGTGACGAGATGGGCAATTCCAGCGACCAGAATCTGAGGCTGCCAGCTGGGAATTACACCGTGGGGCAACCACCAGTGCCCGGCACCACCAAACCCTTACAGCTGCAACTTGCAAACTTCTCCTCTCTTGAGGGCTGCTGATCTCATCATCTTCTGATCCATGTTCCCAGCTGCACTTTAGGATGTTAACAAAGAATGTAATTACACTATTCACGGTACCTTTACGATGAGGTTTCTCACCAAAGCTGCTACAGTATTTGGAGACTCATTTCTAGAGCACCGTGTCCTGGTTTCAGCTGGGATAGAGTTAATTTTCTTCCTAGTAGCAGGCACAGTGCTGTGTTTTGGATTTAGTAGGAGAAGAATGTTGATAACACACTGATGGTTTAGTTGTTGCTGAGTACTGCTTATGCCAGTCAAGGACTTTTCAGCTTCCCATGCTCTGCCAGGGGCACAAGAAACTGGGAGGGGGCACACCCAGGATAGTTGATCCAAACTGACCCAAGGGCTATTCCATACCATATGACGTCATGCTCAGTATAGAAACTGGGGGGGGTTGGCCAGGGAGCAGCGATCGCTGCTCGGGAACTGTCTGGGTATCGGTCGGCAGGTGGTGAGCAATTGCACTGTGCATCACTTGCTTTGTATATTGTTATTATTATTATCATTAGTATACTGTTACTATTATCATTACGTTTATTTCAATTATTAAACTGTTCTTATCTCAACCCAGGAGTGTTTCTCACTCTTACTCCTCTGATTCTCTCGCCCATCCCATCGGGGCAGGGGGAGTGAGCGAGCGGCTGCGTGGTGCTTAGCTGCTGGCTGGGGCTAAACCACGACACACCGGGTCTCAGCGATTAAGGCCCATGCTTATGGATTAAATCGATAATTGTGGTGAGCCACAAGGTACAGTTTTAGGTGAGAAAATACTAACGCACGGCTCCACACACGCGAGGCGTTTCTGTGACAGCCAAGGCCCACGCACGAATGGA